CCCTAATAGTAATGACCATGCGCCTTAATGCATTTGATTTGTTGATTCTGGAATGAGGCAGAAGAATTTGAGTTTGAGAAATTGAAATTGAAACTGAAACCATTGGATATTTAGGGATCTTATGATCTTGAAGCGGTCTGGATTTCAAAGCTGAGAGTGACTTGGTCTGAATCTCGGAGGCATCTATAAATCCGGGTACTTGATCTCATGTTCTTGGGTCCTTTAAAGAGAAATTGATGTTGATTTTTCGTGGCTAAAAATCCTCTTTAGGGGCTCGAGGGTTAGATTTGGTGTCGATGGCAGCTAATCCTCACAGAGGCGGTGCAGATGGTTCCTTTTACGGTGGCGCGGCTCCGTACAGATCAAGGTATCAGTTTCTCTTTCTGAAATTGATTCTGATTGCAAAACTAGGGTTTGATGTTGTTTTTTTGGCGTGGTGGAGTCACACTATCTGTCTCTGTATTTGGTTGCAGTGATGGGCTTAGCACTAGAAATGCTGCTACAGGTTCAGAGGAAATCCAGCTGCGGATTGATCCCATGCACTCTGATCTAGATGATGAGATCACTGGTCTCCATGGCCAAGTCAGACAATTGAAAAATGTAACAATCCTCAAAATCCTTTTTTTCTCTCTCTCTTAAATGATGAAATTGTATGGTAAGTTGGTAACCAAGGATTATGGCTTTAATTTGGGAAATTTGTCTTCTTTTTCTCTTAGTTATTGCTATGGCTTAGTTGATTGGGGGGAAGTCAGGGACGAGGTTAAGCTCTGTGTCAAGTAATCGCAAACGACTATGTGTCTCTGTTTCCATTATAGCTTTTCGGTTTTGCAACTTTTTGTTGCTTGTTTTAAAATTCTTAGTCCTATAGGTGTTTTTGGTCCATGGCACTATGGTAATGTGTAAGCTTACTCACCAGTGAGTCTGTGATTAATTGCTTGTTTTACCAATTAAAATCCGCTTATTTGATACACCATCCTTGCATCTTGAGGGAATCACTCGACATTCTCTAGAATTCCTTGTGTTTTAACTTCTACTTTGCACATGAGTTATCCCCCAGGTTTTTGTTTTTTCTATTTCAGTGTGTTAAAATTGTTTTCCTTTGGTTGCTTGTTTTGATGCAGATTGCTCAAGAAATCGGGTCAGAAGCAAAGTCCCAGAGGGACTTCTTAGATGAACTGGTATGTGGTTGATGTTGCTCAAGTTCTTGTTTCAAATGTATATGCTTACTCACCAGTGATTTCAAATGCATGTGTTCATTATTTGGCAAACTACAGCTACATTTCAACAATGTTTGACAAATTCCACCATAAGCTTACAAACTAATGAATCTTGGTAAATCCACATTTTAGATTAAACTCAGATTTATACTCAGGCTCTGGTCTGAACTCTGGTGGGTAGGAATAGATATCATCCATCTCCACTAATTAGGTGAATGCAGCAGGAAATTGTTTCAGCTTACTATTGACTACCAGTTCTATGCTTTTAGTACACTGCTTTTAGTTCGTTCTAGGTTTTTCTTTTGTTACCTAAAGTACGTGCGAGAGAAGATGATAAATAAATAAATAGATTTGGTTGTGTGAGACTGCAGAAACATGCATTAAGAGTGCTGTTATACCTAATAACTTTGGGATGCAAAAAACAAGTGGACCAAATGCTAATTAATATCTCGCATCTTATAGAACTTTCTTTGCATAATTAGCTGAAACATAAAGCTTTAATGGTGTTTTATGACAGCAAATGACATTGATCAGAGCGCAAGCCGGTGTGAAGAACAACATAAGGAAACTGAACATGAGCATTATCCGTAGTGGCAACAACCATATCATGCATGTGGTTCTTTTCGCGCTTGTCTGCTTCTTTATCCTCTATATGTGGTCCAAGATGTTCAAAAGATGAGAGACTCATGATGATACTCCCTTAGCCTAAAAAAAACCTTGATGAATATTGTCTAGTAAACAACACTTTTTGGTTTTTCTTGTTCCCTGTTATATAGAGTGCTTATTTTGAACAGTTACATAAAAGAAATCATAACTTCATAACTTTTACAGGTCTGATGATGTGAAAGAAATCAAACTTCATGTAATGACCGAGTACATATTCCTTGTATGCCTGCGATAGCGTTTTCTTGTTAAGTATAGTGTAGGACTATTGTGACTAGCCTGGGGGTTGAGCAGTGAATTGTTGCTTTGCCAGTTCAGAAACAGACCTTAGGGGTTAGTTGAGAGCTGATGGGTTAAAGGGGAGCTAGGAGAATTCATTGGGATCACACTGGATTTGTCTAGGTTCTTGGCTCTGGGCAGTGGTCGAAAGTTCAGGAACTCCTCTCACTAATCAAGTTTATTGTATGGTATAGTTCTTTGGTGAAATTTGAACCGGTTCTAATCGTATCAGCTTGATCCTTGGAGATTGGAATGAAGAATATCTATCTATCTCGAACAACTGTTGTTACTGTCTTTTCAGGTTTGTCCATTACATTTCATCTCAGCATTGGAACTTGTGGACTGAATGGCCAGAAACAAAGAGGCCTTGTGGTGAGAGCTGGAAACAAAGAGAAGCAGATCAAGAAAATCTCTGGCCAGGACTCACGGCTTCTGTAGGTGGATGAGGACCACTAGTGAGCGCCGACATGCCAAGGGACGGTGGAACCTCTGCCCTAAGTCGAACCCTACTAGCGGCAAACTAGCTTGAAGGTTGTTTATCTCCTCTCCTCTCTCTCTGTAATCTTGTTTGATAATGACAAACACCAATTCGATGAGATCTTTCTGCATTCAACTCTTGTGTATCCTTGATTTGTTTAAAGATGTGATTTATTGAATTGAACCTTAGCAGAGCCCCAGCTTTGAAGCCGCCAAACATAACTTGATAGAAGCTAGCTTGCAAATCCATTCCACACTTGGCTTAACATCAAGTCATGTTTACAAAAGTTCCAGATCATGACAACATTTTCACTTTCTCACCTCTTTCATCTCTCAAGTCCTTGCTCTTTGGACGTTCAACGATGTCTGGCATTTCGAGGCAACAGTAAAGTTAATATATATCCGCAAAATAATTAAAACAATAATTTTATTTTTAAAATAGCAGATGATTCAAACTACTACTCTAAAATATTGTGAAACACATAATTTTTCCTTCTCATATTCACAGTTAGTATTTATACATACACACAAAAATTGGAAAAAAAAATTAGCAAGTGAATTTTCGAAAAAGTTTTCTCTAAAATTAAAAACTGATCCGTAGAATTCGTTAACTTGGGTCATTGAACTCGTTGAACTAATACAAAGCACAATCTCTAAAAATAGTTTTATCTATTTTTAATATGTGTTAAGTATATTTATTACGAGTATTTACAAAGAACAAATACTTATTACAAGAGAAAGATAATCATAATTTCCTGCAAATATTTTGATCAGTTTTTAATTATGAGATTTGCTATTTGGTTTACAGTTTTTTGTGTTTTCTTCTTTCTCGTTTTGAACGGTGGTCAAGGTAAATATATCAACTTTCTTTGATTGTACTTCGTTACTTTTAGCATATGAAACATTAATTGTTACTAACCGCAAAAATAAAATAAAAACAATGTTTTGACCAAAAAAAATTGTTCTATAATAAGTTTAATGTTTATCTTGTTACACTATCAATTGTTTATCCATAGATCTTACACTAACGATCAACACATTTTGTTTATTGTTGATACAAAATAATAGAGGTGCCTATGTAGAAGAGTGGAAGATATCGAAGGAAATTGCATGGTTGATGGAGATAAAGGGTGTATGAATTTTATGACGAATAAATACAAAAAAAATATGTTAGTTGCAAATGTAACAATATTTACATGTTACATAAGACCAAACGTTTTTGCGAATGTGAACATCGTTGCGGAGAACGAAGATGAAACTATAAGTCCATAATGAACACCGGCCTCACTAGTAAAAAGGAGAATTTGTTGACAAAGAAAAATTATGAGGGTTTGTAGTGTTGAGATGATTCACAAATAAGTTATGATAGTCTAATATGTTTTATTCACATTTTTTTTTTATAAAAGTTATGAGTTAAAAGTTAGATACATAGTACAAGTTTCTCAATCAATTTATCTTCCATGTTCAGCTATTCTAGTTGTGAACTGATATTTTTAATGAATTTTCTAGTTTACAATCTAGGTTTATTATTTTTTATTGGTAAAATAGCTTAATTCAAATTTTGCAATAAGGTGATACATGGTCTATTAAACTTTGGAGATAATATAACGTTGGGCTTAATGGGCTGTAATACATGAGCATAGGACAATATACAAAATA